AACCATTATTCAACGGCATTCATGAGGAAAACAAAATCCCGGAGTATCAACCGTAATCACAAGAAAATTCGGAGGCTTTCGTGGGTGTCGGATACGAAGCGACGAACTGAAGGAAAGAATTGATGGGATCCGTATCTGATTGTTGTTGAGCACCATCCTTTGACATGTTTCTTTATAGACTAGATGATTTTTAAACAGTTGAAATGAACTCTTACCAGTAGAATATTTCAAGAGTGCTGATACTGTAAAATTTGTATCTCTTAATGAAACAGAAAAGTTGGGCCTGTGCAATGCAAGACTTACGAGTGTCCCTGATGATAACTGATTGAAACTCTGACACACCAGTACTCGGCAAAGTGCATATGTAGATCGGATATTTCCATTCGTCACGGTACTGTTCTTCCTGAGTTTTATTTCCTTATAATCGTACTCATTCAATTAGGTTGAACCCAGATGTGACTTATTACCCTAACAGAAGAACACTTCTGCAGTCGGTAATGAGAGATAAACAGTTTATGATAATCGCAGACTGTCTTGGGCCTTCCAGACTTCCCTACTGATAACGACATTGTTCATATAAGCTTCACATATTCATTTCGTCGGAATTGTCCGCCAATGAGATTCATACCCCAAGAAAACATCGTACAACTATTAAGATATCACCCAACAATAAAGAAACCCACTCGTCAGCAGTGTAGGATCACAATTGATAGAACTTAAGTATCCGAAAGTGAATTCCTCTCCTCTTGTTCTCCTCTGCAAAAACTGACCTTAACCAGATGAGTGATGATAAAACTAATCGAGCTATCAGAAATCTTCATCTCCACCGCTCGGTTATCTTTCGGCACATCACATGAAGGAGATGGATGAAGCCATACCTGTGATTGGAGAGAATTGAAACAAAATTAGTATTATTTTCTCAAAGCCTACCTCATATATATTCTGTACATCCCGTCCTACTATGAGTAGTTCGTCTTCTGGTGATGAAATACTGGGAAAATAATTTCGTCTGCAAGAATCCTGGTGGTGCACATGCACGATCTTTGAACGTCAAAATTCATCGGTGGCGGTAGTAGTTCTTTATTACTTCTAATGAAATATGATCATTTTTCATTTTTATTTTATTTCATTTGATCCGTCTTCACGTCTACTGTGCGGATCCCATCAGTTCTCACATCCGATTCGTTTCCTCGCATCCACTGTCCACGAAGATCTTCCATATTTTAACGAGTGGTTTTCAGTTGTTGCTTGAGGATTTTCATTTCATCTTAAATGTCATAGAGTGCTGGTCGAGCAATTTTACCTAGAGTCCTGAGATAGCCGGGCTGAAGCATTCCCGATTAGATTTCAGAGAGTGATTTTTTCCTAGAGAAGTCCGGTACCAATTTCCCGACTAAGGAGGGATGAGCGGCTTGGTTAACCCGCAGCGGAATCGAACTAGCACCATGGTCATGATGACCGACATCACTACCATTGTGCTATCCGCCCCATATGATCATTACAGGTTCTTTTTTCAGAAGTGTGACAATAAGTAATGCTTAATGGGAACAATACTATTCAAGGTCGATTGCATTATAAATGCAACATCTGACGCGGTACTAGATGATAAGGACTGGCGTTAGAAATCACCCGCAGCTTTTTGCCGCTAACCTGTAACAACTTTTTACTTATAAAACCCATAATCTCACACGAACTATTATCACGATAAATTAATCACATCTCATGTGGAGCGACACTTCTGAAAGAAAATTTGTTCCAAGTATGAGCCCTTACTCATAGGTGATTCTTGCGGCATACATAGTTCCATTGCTTGACATTCGAATGTTATCAGCTGTCGATAACCCTGTAGCTGAGAACTGACGATTCGCAGTAGTATTTGACAAATTCGCGACATGGAGAACACTAAAGGCAGCTGGTGAAGTAGAAACCTGCAAACGCACTCATGAACGATACGATCACTTCATCTAGCCTTTGGCATTTTACTTAGATTGTTAAGGACTTGTCAGAGTAACGAGAAAACTAACCGCAGTAAATGTTCTTATTACTTCCAGAAACAGAAGCCACATACCACATTTACAACATCGGCAAATAACAAATGAACCTTACTCCTTCTGTTCTTCCATAAATAACGTCATTCACGAAAACATTTCATATCAATTCACAAATAGTTTTAATTGATAAATTTTTACTTCTAACTGATAATTGACTGATCTGTGCACAGAACCCTGGAAAACATTCATAAATAACAAAAACTACAGTATTACGTGTAGAGCACAGTTAGAGGTTCCCTGCAATTGCAGAGATGGTCAGTATTTTGAAAGCACACCCAAGCCCTTATCTAACAGAGTCATCGAGGGTCCGCAGATTGGTGCTACAATGGTTTAGGATGAGGTAATGAAATGGCCTTTGTGGGACGACATTGGCGTTTCAGTGGAGCAACTATCGCACTCCAATCTTCCATATTCGACATTCGATATTTTCGATTAACACCACTCGTGCAAAAAATGTGCGCAGAAACCCGTGATTTTATCGCACAAGTCTTATCTGCACTCTAAGCACATACTCGATGTTGTCAAATACAGGCCATTCATTGTATTAGGCTTCGAGCCAGAAAGGCTCTGCACATATTACGTGCCTAGTTGGATACTTCGACGGCCCGTTTTCACTGGTTCTGCGGGCTCCGATATAATTACCATTCGTTTTCGTCACGCGCAATCGTGGTCATGGTGGTAGTCGGTTTCGAACATGGTGTCGTCTTCGAAGCCCATTTCATAGTTCTGAAATCGTTCCCATCTTCGAATGTAGATAGTCGGTGCTAATCACGAATACGTCTGCCCATCGTTTTGGTGGTCTTCCAATAGGAGGCTAGCATTCTGTTGGAGTCCACTTTAATGTTTTTCTCGTTCGCCTATCATCTGTTTCTCTTATTATGTGATGGCACCATCCGTGTTTCGATGTTGACATATATTCTCCTAGATCCCGAATACGGAATAGGTTTCGAAGGTCCGGGCTGTACATTCTAGCTAGAGGATATGGGTGCCGGTTAAATTTCAGAGGACATCGTTCAAGCGTTCTGTGAGAAGTGCGCACTATTTTTTACGTGGTTGAGGCATCAGCGTAGGTTTCTGCTGCATAACAGAGCGCTGGGAGGACTGTCGAATCGAGATGGTGAGCATGATTTTTTGCGTTGCTTAGTTGGTCGGTGGCTTTTTTGAGTGATCCGTATGAGGTCCATACTTCTCTCCTTCTTCTGTCTAATTCGTCCTTCATCTCGTTCTCCATGTTCATTGAACTTCCAAGGTAGCTAAAGCGCACCTACGAGGTGGTCTCTGTAGTCTGAGAACTATCCAGTTTTGATAACTCGGAAGACCGACCGACTTTGTATTTTATTCTACTCTTTTCTTATTCTATTCCCATTTCTATCCTTATTCTTTTTATTCTATTTTTTCAGTTTTTTAAAAACATTAATGCGGAATACCATTGAGGAATTCTGGATAAATCCCGGAAGTCTAAAGATGAACTGGAAATATACATATATATATGTATATATATATATAATATACAAAGTCAACGACATTTCTTAACGGTAGTTTCCCTCCACAAGTGACAAGGGTTCCCTTACTTAATTGGCGTAGGTGGGTCGTCCTGCTTCTCGTCTATTGTATGACGATCACATGGAATTTTCTGCGACCAGAGGCCTCATGAAAAACGTCGGCGTTTGAAGGGACTCCAGGTGTTGTATCTGCAGCGCAAGAAGCGGTCTCCGTTTTGTGCCGTGTGTTTAACTGTTTTGCCCGCCTCCAGTGGCGTCCTGTGCATTCCGAGATTTGATCACCTCATACCGGTTCACGCTACTCGACGTTGTAGACGTAAACGCCCAAGGAGCAGCGTATTGAAGCCGGAGATTTGCTGATTTAATTAACGTAGATCTCCGAAGTGCAAAGGCAGCCTTGCAGAGGCATTCCTCAGGTTATCACCACCGCATGCAATCGTCGCTATTGTGAAACGGAGGGACATTTGCCACTATGCGACTAGTTTGACACCAAGAGTGCGGTGATTCTTGGGATTCGTTTACTCTTAGCTGACTTCCCGATGGAAACGTCGGACTCAGCTTGGGAGACCCTGCTGGAGGGATGGAACTTTCGCTATACGCCAAAGCCTGATACCCAGGAACACCTCCAGCCATGACGAGGTGGCAAAACAGGCTATATCCATTTTACGTACTAAATCCAATAATGCAAAGAAAACTCCTTTGAGACTAATGTATTCACCAGCGAAAATACCACAGTTTAGAGGGGCATTAACAAATCTTTCCGTATTACCTTTCGTACTGTCGGAGTACCGTAAAGACTGTCGCTATAGGCTATACATGACTTGTATGCGGGACTGCTACACATGGCCTGATTCCAATTCACAGAGTAAGCGACGAAACATTAGGCATCGATGAGATTCGGTCACAAGAAATCGCATGAATGGCACACTGAGGATACATTCGTGACCACTTCTTAAAATAGTAATTTCGGCTAGAATGAGAAGGTGGTGGTTAACAAACAGCACCTGCTAGATTCCTGAAAATTTCACATACTTGAGAAAAGGCGACATCATAAATCTTAGGGCAAGTACGTACTGATTTGTAATGTGGTAACAACGAAAGAAAACTGATGAACAAATAGGACCAGTTACCGTGCACGCTAGCGGAATGCAGCAACACCGAGTGCCATCTCCATGAATGACGGTTGTGTACATCGACCATGTTTGTATATGTTCCGTAAATCACAAACTTCAACACATCTGTTCATTTAACGTCAACAACTGCATCAAAAACCAACAACGAACACCATAGACCGTAACAAATTAACAAATCCATAACCGAGACATACGCGGTATCCAGTAGGATAATATGAACACATTGACGATCTGTACTGACAACTTGAGATTGGAACGTACAACAATCCATAACAATAATGAAACAACAGCAAAGTCAGTAAATTCTGCGAGTATTACTCACTATCCGAGGACGATGAAGTGCTTTCTTTTTTCGACTTCTTCTTCTTCTTCTTCGCCTTTGGTGAACTGACATCTTCATTCGCACTTTCTTCAACTGTTGCCTCCACCTTTGTCTAAAGCATAATCACTTCTAGCACTTATTAACTGGTTTTATTCAAAAAGTTTAAGGGAAAGAAAGCTTTTTTGGAATCGGATCGTAGAATCGGAAGGATGTCAGACAACGGTTGCATATCTGAATCAAAACGACAGAGGACTCTAAATACCAAGGTTAGTAGACCTGATTTCTCATGCAATCAATTGTTTAAAACTGTTCGTATATAACAACTACTAGCAATAGAGTTTTTCCTATGAAACATACGATGTTTATATAGAAAAAAAAATAAAACTTTGCTAACCTTTTATTTGCTGCCTACTGTAACTCTTCACGGCAGGGTATTATTGTGAGATACAACCAAAACGATGCTGAGATATTCGCAAAACTTGGACCTCGGGTCAGATCGAACCACGATTACCTTTTCCGGCGGCTGGCGTATTACACACTGCACCACAGAGGCCTTTGCTCTGAGTTTCTCTCAGCTAGTTTTCTACCTAACGCTGCCATAATTCAACATCCGCCAGCGGGATTCATCTGCAGAGCACAAATCGGCGTTGAACCCAGTTAAGTTGAGGCTGTCCAAGTTTTGCGGACATCTCAGCATCATTGTGGTTGTGTCAAACAAAAACATTTTTGATACACTATATGCTAGTTTTCTCATCTTTACTTTGCGAATGTTACATTATTGTTACTAATTACCTAAAAGGCAAACAAAAATTTAAGCGTATTCAGCAAGGACTGCTTCTTTCTTTGAAATGATGGAAATGGTCGGTTTCGATATAATACCACAAGAAAGGAAACTGTATTATTGAAAATAAACACCCGCTATCAACAAACTACTTACAGCAGAATAATCCACAACTTTCCAATTAGCTGGTGTATTCGCATTAGGTTTCCCGAACTTATCCAACAATCCATCCTGTAACCAATGATAACCGCTAACTTGTGTATCAAACCCAAAAAGACATTCGGATTACAAAACAGTTTGAATAATATCAAGCAATAACGATAATAAACCTTAATCATTTGCTTCTTTTTGCTTGCGACAGGACCTAAACCCCACTTGCGACCGTACACATCACGTTCCATGATAACTCGCTTTGATTTAGCCACTACGCCATGGTCCGTTGAGGCCATTGTTGAAGTTGTCATTTGCGCTATCGCTATAAACCACCATTTTCGTAAAGGAAGTAAAGAGTAACTAAAAATGAAACTAACCTATACATATGGCTTCACCCTTAGTACTAACAATTACGATTTCTTGACCAACTTCGATACCATCATCGTACCGCAAAACACCAGGAAGAAGGATTTTCGCTCCGTAGCATATGGCGTTAACCTGAATACGAACTTTTCTTCCCAGACTAAGAGCAACGGTAGTGATAAACATACTGATGAATCTTTCACTATAATTCGCTTGTGCTGAACAAGCAATGCTTCCAATGGCCGAACTATCTTCCGCATGTAAGTCTCATCCTTAAAAGAATGCACTTGATATCATAAACACTTTAGGAATAGCAGAGTAACTAAAACACTGTTTAAGACTATATAAACCTCTGAAACTTGCCTTGTGGTGATCCAAAACGTATTGAGCATCTAACACATCGTGCAATGTTACCAGTTCGTCATGTTCATCCGTAATACCTGATCTAAACGAGAAACACTTTCGTGGCACCTATGGATGCTAAGAAAAACACTACTTGATCAAAATTAGTCCAACGATAAGAAAAAGAACCTGTTCCTCCTTAGCTCCTGCATCTGTCCCCCCACACCTAGAATAAGACCAAGATGCACACAGATTGTTCTCACGTATGTTCCGGATTCACACTTTACCCTAAACTGTTACGGTAGAACTTTACTTACAAGAAAAATATGCTGATATTTAGCAATACGTCCTACACCTAGTAAAAAAAAACACATGAGCCTTCCTTATTATGAGCTCTATGGCTTTTAGAGTTGGAAAATTTTCATAGAACTCTATAAAGAATTATAAACGCCTAACAATGGACACATTTCCTTGAAAGAGTAACTGCAAGCTAATGTTCACAAGAAAAATAGGAGAACCGTCAAATTTCATCTTAATTTTTGACTTCGAATACTTTTGAGAAAAACTACCACGGAACTGATAACTACGATACAACCACAATGTGTTGAGATATTTGCAAAACTCAGCACTGCAGGTGTCTGCGGTGAGGATCGAACACGTTATTACCCTTTCTAGGGGCTGATGCGTTCACCACCACACTATGCAGGTCCTTTGCTTCGTCTTTCTAATAACTATAATAGATTTTCGTTCGACTACCAGAAGATGCCCATTTGCTGCTCCTTGTCGTATTCTAAGAGTTTGTTCTCATAAACAGTTCTCACACGCAACTGGCGCTTCACGGCTGAGATAAGCGGTGGACGTTGGAACAAGGCTCCAGTCAACTGAAAACTACATCACTCAAACCAACCGAAAAGTGTTAAAGCATGAACTCCATTGAAAACCCAAAAAGGAAGACACAAAAATGCAGATTAACGAACAAACACATAAATATACCTTCTCCAGCGCTTGTTTAATTTTCTTCTCACTTTCTACGGGATTATGCAGCTTAAAAATGCAGATGTACTCCTTTCCTGCACCTTGCTGAGATTTTGCCAAGCGAGTTGTACGATCAATGCAAACAATCAAACACCCAGATACCTATAAAGCTTGACGATTTTCTACGAACATACCCATCAAACATCAGGAGAACAAAAATTTGCCTTAGGATCCAGAGTACCGCTATGGCCAGTCTTCTCCACTCGAAGGATGCGTTTAATCCATGCTACTACCTCGTGCGAAGATGGATTGGCCGGCTTATCCAGATTAAAATATCCGGAAGAGATGTAGTTCCGGATTTCTCTTTTTAACGGAGAGCAGCCTTCCGGAAGTGGAGTATAGTGGTTGGTTCGCACATTCATTTTGTCAAAATTCTAGAAAAAAATGTGAATAGCAACATATGCAAACCGCACGCTTAAATGAAATACCTTTAGAAGTAATGGCCATTCTTCAGAGTTGAGACTGGGTTCACCTGTCGATGGCTTCAAGTGGAATGTGCCCTGTTCCTGAGCCTCCTAAACGGATTCTTCGGCGCCACGTAGAACAAAGAAAAAGAGAACTTTACAGAACCCAGCTGCCTTCGATTTTTAGATTACCTAAGGACAGGGCTAGATCGAACCCTTTGACTTGCGAAAGACGCGAATAGGAAAAAACTCTCATTTTTCTTTCTCATCGTCTCTTCGTTTCCGAAAATTAATTGCTTTAGGTGTTATGGAAACTAAAGACAAAAGAAATCGTAAAAAATCTGCATTCAAAACAACCAAGGAAAGTACTAGTCCTCAACACAAAAACTGACTTGAAGAAAAAAATCGTGGCCTGAACCATAACTTTTTTTTTCTAAACACAACCTAATAGTAACCCCATTCGTCCGTTACCTTCCCTAAACAGAAAACAAAACAAAACAAAAAGTTTCTTTACTTACTCCGACGTCCATCTTCGACTGCTTCTCTTTCTTACCCATTATCAAATCTGAAAATGAAAACCGTCAATCTAATGACTTGGGTTCGAAACCATACAAAGCCAATAAAAACGAACCGGCATTTCAATACGAATTTTGAGGCTTAGCAGAATATAACTAAAGAGGACCAACTAACACATACATATAAAGATGTAAACATATACACATATATGCGCGTATGTGCGTATACAACATATATACACATGTGTACATGTATGTAGGCGTGTATACAATATGCGCATATGCACACGTACATATGCACGCGCATATTTACATACAAATATGTAAGCTATATATCGATACACATATACACACATGTACATGTGTATGTGTGTGTATGCATATATACTCAGCAACCAACGACAGCAGTCAGAATCGGCGTACTATGTCTATTTTCAACAAAGCGGAACACAAAAGAAAACTCAAACAGCTCTCTTCTTCGTTTTCTGGAAGCGTCCTGCCCAATCTAGTATCAGTTTTTTGAACAGAGCATCCTGGAGAAAGCCGAAATAGCCATTGTCCGCGTCTAAGAACCGGCAAAGTTCCGCTTCCGGACGTGATCGTGCCGAGAGCCGCCGCACTGCGCGGAGCCCGCTCGCAGCGGCACGCACGTGCTGAACGGGCAGCCAAGCAGGCGTGGTTCGAAAGCACCTCGATTGGCGCTCAGTCCCTCTCCACGCCGAGTCAGTACGGCGGTTCGTACTCCTGTCCTTAAGACTTCGATAGTATGGATTCTGGCTTTGCTTTTCACTTCTTAGGAGGTTACAGCTTCTTCGTAGTCTCTTGACCAACCGTGGTTAGCTAATTGATTTATCGTTTACAGCTGACTCACTTTCCCGGTTTATTACGTAATATGCCTCAGAAAATTTCGTTGTATTGCTTGTTGCTTGCCTATCGTGTCATAAAATATTACTTGTATCCTGTTTTCCTTGTTAGAATTCATCAGTCTTATGTCGGCAGTCATTTAGATGGCTAGCGCTGGTGACGGTATACCCACATTCAAGCTCGTTTTAGTGGGCGATGGTGGTACTGGGAAAACGACGTTCGTAAAGCGTCATCTTACCGGAGAGTTCGAGAAGAAATATGTTGGCAAGTTCTCTTTATCGTACTAGGGTGTCTTTTGTTTCCAGTTACCTTAAGAGCTGCTGTGCCATAACCTCGAAGTGTTTTATTTTTCAACTAACCATGCCTTAGCCCTTGTAGCATTCTAAAAGTACTGCAGGAACGTCGGTGATTTCGACGAATCCATGTTGTTAGAAGACCAAAAGACTTCTTAGTCCTCTTTATTGACACACTTATTCATTGCTTTTGAAGCCACGCTTGGAGTAGAAGTTCATCCGCTCATTTTTCATACAAACCGAGGTCAAATCCGTTTCAACGTATGGGATACCGCTGGACAAGAGAAGTTCGGTGGACTGCGTGATGGCTACTACATTCAAGGTTTCTTAGTTGTTTACTCTTAATGTAATTATCTCGTGTGGAAAATGTCAGTCATTCCTGGACTTACATTACTATCAAGACTATCTTGAACAGAAATCCTTTCCTGAACGTAGTCACTCTACTAAGTCGACGAATCCAGGAATGATTGACGATGGTCCACATGAGAACCTATACAACTGGTAATATTACTGTTCTTACGGCCTCAGACTGTCCATCGAAACACATTTTATCAATGTAATGATCGTTTAAAATGTGAACACAGGTCAATGTGCCATAATAATGTTCGACGTAACCGCTCGTGTCACGTACAAAAATGTCCCGAATTGGCATCGTGACTTAGTACGAGTTTGCGAGAACATACCGATCGTACTCTGTGGAAATAAGGTAAGTTCCAGTTCTTTTGAATTCTGAGAGAAAGGCAAAACGATGGACTCGCATGGTGTGGTGGTAAACCCGTTAGCCTCCGGAAAGGGTTATAGCGTGTTCGGTCCACACTCCAAACACCAGCGGTCCGGAGTTTTGCAAACATCTCAGCATCATTATGGTTATATTTCACACAATACCACTGGAAAAGAGTAGTCAGTAGGTAAAAAAGTGACGGGAAAAATTTAGATTAGATTAGATTTCTGAGGAAAGTATTTTGGATATAGCGAAATGAATATGAACACTTCTTAAGCGTTCACGTGCTTACATCTGCTTTTGAAAACGTTGATGTTGCCCGGTGTTAACGTTAGACTTTGAGTACTTCATTTGATTTCCTCAAGCATGTATTGATGCTTTTTCCTGTCTAGAGCTGAATCATCAACTATCTACCAGCGTTGTTTAGCCTCATGCATAGAAAATGTGGCATCTATCACAAATAAGTTAATTAAATGATTAATCGACGTGTAGTTAACTGAAACTTGTGAGCGAACTAAAGAAACAACTGGAGAGTTTTACAAAAAATCAAGCAAGTTTTGCTCATTCAGCTGACTTTCTATCCAGCATTTCCTAAAATGAGTGGTGTAATACTAGTTCCTTATTTTGTGAAATATATGAAGTTTCGTGAGGATTCGTTAGTGTCCAACTCGTAACAACCTCTAGTAGGCCAACTGAGTTTTTCGGAAATTTGCTGGTTAAGCCATTGTCGTCCTCTAGAATATCGAGGTCAACTTCGACCAGGGTCTGCCCTAGGTCTTCACCACCACAGGCAGTTACAGTTTTTGTGGATCAGAACGAGATTTCACAGCTTGCGACTAGTTTAACACCAGGACAATGGTATCTAAGGATTGGTGTACTGTTAGCTGGGCTTCTTTATGGAAGCGCTGGACTGCTCAGCTTGGGAGGCTCTGCGAGGGGATGAATCCCCAGCTGTACATCGCGGCCCGACACCGAAGAATACCTCCCAACCACGATAAGGTGGTAAACCGTTGAAAGCATACCGTCAGTATCGAATGTGCCCACTTATACATGTAATCATAAAACGAACACAGTGATATGAGTACATGAATACCGAGTACTTACTGATCATGTACCGCCTAAAACATGAAGGCTCTGTGCAGCGAAATGTGTACGTCGAGAACTTGAGTGAACGCCATTAGTAAGCTCTGGGCATACTTACTTTATCCGTTACTGTAGCGTTTTGAAGCATAGTCAAAATAAATCAGCTTGATAGGGTAATGCAGAACGCTTTCAATATTGCGCTGATCTCAAAAAAGGGGACAGGAAACGTAAGAAAGTAGACGTATCGTATGTAGTCTTTGAGCGATCACATTAGCTTTGAATGATACGCATTTTGGTTCTGAACATGATTGGAGATTTAAGAGCGCCTCGTTGTTTCGGGTTGACTTACTATTCACTGGAGCTTATGTGTTCTCATTTTTCTGGTTTGATCTAAAAGACATGGTCGGGAAACACTGTGAATCAACGGCAAAGGGTAGACAAACCTGTTTCCCATGAAGAAATGATGTTCACTCAAAGGAAATCAAGCTCCCAAGTTGCGGAATGATATACAAAACTTCACAATAATATGCACGACTAGCGTGATTAACATGGTATATACGTCGAATTACCATCAGAAATATCAAAGCGGAGTAGTTTTTGTTTCTAGATAGGACTGGGTTTTTAACAAATGGATACCTCATACATTTGTGGTACTTAGTAGTGAATCACCTAAACATTCTTGACTAACCTTTTGAAGGAAGCCGTATTGACTTCCAATGTATGCATTCTTGAAGGAATTTCGGGCTTATAAGTATGTAGCATAGGAGAACTTAGAGGTGGCAAAGTATATTCTTGGAAAAACGAAATAGGAGCTTATATTCGGTTGTATTCGTGACCAGCGAATTTCAAAATTCGCTGTATAACGTTTGCACCCAATCGCCAGTACTAATTATCAACCGCATCTGAGTAGTAAATATAACCATAACGCGGTTGAAAGGAAGGCAAAACGAAGACGCGTTAGCGGTCAGAGAGGGTAATAGCGTGTTGAGTCCTCACCGCACACACCGGCGGTCAGGATTTTTGCAAATATCTTTGCATCATTGTGTTTATATTTCAAGCACTTCCATTAAAAAATAGTATACAGCAAATAAAATTTGACGACTTTATGTCGTGAGTAATACTTTTCGCTGTAGTATCTTGGTAACGTCGCTATCAAGTTTTTCACTAAATTAGCTTATGTGATAAGGAGGGATAATACGTCGAAATTTTTACACTATTTTTCTAGCAGTAGAAATAATCTTGCTACATCAAGTTTCTTATATTGTTCTATTACTGCTGAATTGGTTTCGCGTTTGCAGGTTGATGTGAAAGATAGAAAGGTGAAGGCTAAAACGATCACATTCCATCGTAAGAAGAACCTTCAGTACTACGATATCTCAGCAAAGTCCAACTACAATTTCGAGAAGCCTTTCCTGTGGTTAGCACGCAAGCTCTTGGGTGATCCTAACCTTGAGTTTGTTGCTATGCCAGCTCTTGCACCTCCCGAGGTACTCTTCTATATTAAAATTATCTTTGTTTCCATCTTTCGTTTTAGTGTGGTATTTCGCATTTTATTTCCAGGTTACAATGGATCCAATGATGATTGCGCAGTATGAGGACGACTTGAAGAAGGCTGGCGATGCAGAATTGCCGGATGACGACGACGATCTCTAAATCCACAAGTTTGAAGTTCTTCGCCAATCGATTTTCGAATTTTTCGATTACGTGGGCTCAAAAGAAAGAATCGGTGGCCGTATTGGCTTGACATCTCTTGTTTTTAAAAGTTTGTTTCATAGCTCTGTTGTCAGTCACGAGTATTGTTTTGCAAGCGCGAAGCATTTTCATAATGTTTTTGTTTGATTAGAAATTGGTGAAATGAACTTTCTGTGGAAGAGACGGCACAGTACTAGGGCAAATCCCAATTTTAGGTTTCCAACAAGGTAAATATGTCTTTCAATGGTAAAGAAATACCATATCATCATTTATGACACATCACAACAACGATGATTTGCTGAACCAGTTAAGACGCTGATCTGACTGGGCACTATAAGGCAACTGAAAAGGAAGAATTTGAAAATGAGTCCTAGAAGTCATGATATTTTGCCAACAGTGGTTCACTTTATAATAGGTCTTGGAATTCAGGCACTTTTCAGCTTTCTTATTATAGAAAAATCACAACTCGAAATGAAAGACGTCTAGCTGAGATTGATGATATCTTACCGCTTTTTTTAAAGTCAGGTCATTGTGAAGGAGTCGACATCGAGAATGGAAAGGGGAAAGTGGGAAGGTTGACATTTCAGCAAACCTTTGGATTTATTTTGTATTGTGATTAACATTGTTAAAGATTTAGTTTAAATTGGTGTGTTTCGTGTAGCTGAAGTCCGTTCTTACAAACATAAATTGTAGCTGGTGTGTTCATCGGTAAAGAAAATGTACGACAAGGTAGCCGTTGTTATTTTTGGCAGCTAAGGTCAAATTGAAAGCAATGTGGTAATTCTAAAAAACTCTACCTAGTAATTCTGATAAGCAGCCTGTTGGACTTTGCTGGAAGTTTAGACTATTTTTACTGCTGGAACTATTTTAGTCGTAAGATAGCAACAGCACTATTGTAAAAGCTAAAGTATAAAGCTCTCAGTGTTGATCAATCTCTGATGATGCGCCATGCATTCGATTTCACTAAGCATCGTTTGGAGGTGATTGAATGCATATCTGGCCTTTACAATGACTCGCGGTGGCCTGCCGATGTATTGAGCCAGTGTTGCTATCCTCCCAGACAAGTCTAGTATCAATTTGCCGACCCCGAAGGGATGGAAAGCTTGGTAGGCCACGGGTGCGGAGATCGATTCCGCGTGTGTGTTGCAGGGTGCCTGTGACCACTGTACCACATGCGCTTTCTTCAGTAATATTGTAGAAGGGAGGAATCCTGGTTGTAAAGTTGTGGTATTGGGACGGACACGGGAAGGACGTTCGGGCAACAACTATGGGCGTGCCGGCTACTGTTGATCGTGGCGGATTTGCTAACTCGTGCTGTTGATTTCAACCGATCTCCCAGCTTAATGTGTAAATTAGGCAGCATAGAAACCGCTCCTGTAGGAGTGCGTTGTGATTTCCTTTGTTGCAGATGTGCACAGTTCGTCATATGGACTTTATCTGCGTATTTTCCCACTCGAAAGAAAATGCGTGTACTTCCATGCAGCAAAGATCGAAAATTTGTTGTCGTAGTGAAGTAATGAACATATCGATTTTGGATTATTCTAAAAGATCCGTCCAATCCTGGCACCGTCCTGATAAGGACAGTGTTGCTGTGATATTTACTTGCAAAATTTTGGACCACAGGTATCTGTGGTGGGATCGAACCTCGTTAACATCGGTTTAACTGGGTCCAGTGCCGATTTGTGCTCCCAGATCAACATCGTTGACGTATGATTGCTGAAAGCGCCTATAAAACACGGCTGAGAGAAAGGCGAGACGGACGACATGCATGGTGTAGTGGTGAGCACGTTAGTACGCTTAAAAGGCTACT